GCAGCTAAGACAGGGAAAATCTCATTTTAACAACCCACAGACTTGTGGAGTACTCCAACATGTTTTCCGAGAAAAGCTACTTTTTCCCCCTAAAATCCCTAACATGAGCAGAAGGATTCCGAGAGAAGGACTCAGAGAACACATTAGCAGTGACAGGGAGCTCGGACTGCACCCCTGCTGCCCACCCCAGCAAAGCTGCCCCATGGAGAAGCCATGGCCCTGGGGATCACGATGGCCGTAGGTTTTGCCATCATAAGTAATCCCAGGGTAAATCCTTTAGAAAAACAAATATGCGACCCAGAATCCCTCTTTTCTGCCAACACACAGGTCCAAGTTATTACATTTTCTTATGGTAAAAGTCCCTTTCCTGCTTTTGCAGAGGACCATATTGAGGCAATAAAAAAAATGGACCACCTTTTTTGATGGATCCTCCAAAATGCTCTGTTCATAGTTCATCGCTTTGACGAGTATTGGCTGAGCCTCTGTGACTGACCAAGCCCTGGAGATAGAGGAGCGAACAAAAGCAAGTTCCTATCCTCATGGAGCTGACACCCCAGTAGGTGCGCAGCAGCTTTGTCCTGACAAAGAGTGGGCTTCCAGATGCTTCCACACCCTGTCTTTAACCTAGTTTGCCTTTTGCCTGGAACTCCAAAAACATAGACACAGATGGAAGAAACTAAAGGTACCCAGGGAAGTTTGGGCCCAACTCCAAGTGTCAAGAGCAGGACTATGTAGTATAGTCAGGGAAGCAGGTTGTCCTTGGACCCAAATAGCATTCAACTTGCAGTTTAAGGACAAGAATAAAAAAGATTTCCAAAGGTACATGTTTATTCCTTTAACACATCACGTCTCCCTATGCCTCCTTTCCTCCCTTCCCCTTTCTCTCTCTCTCTCTCTCTCTCTCTCTCTCTCTCACACACACACACACACACACACACGCACATTCTATAGTGCACCCCCCCCAAGAAAAATACCCAAAGACACATACACAAATATGCAAAACTACACAAATGCACAAGCTACACAGGATAGGAAACCCAGGTGTGCCCACATAAAGACACGGATGTCATATTTTCAAGGACACACTGACACTCACAAACAAACCTATGACCTATAAAAGAAGGGTCATGATTACAAGCAAAAACACACATGTCTAAACACTTTCTAATAGAAGCTGAGGTTCTTGGTCCAGCTGCCCTGGTAGCTGTGCCTCCCATCGCTTCTATAAGATTACAAAGATTAAACTGTTGGTAGCCAACTTCCTATAAGTGCCTGTAAAACAAGAGGGCTCAGCTTTAAATAATTATGTCACAGAAATGACAACTGTGCTCTTTGCCAGAACAGGGATGAATAATTACAAAGCCAGGACATAATAAGCAATTCTAACTGTTGGATTCTTGCACTGTCTCTCTGACGTGCAGGGCTGGCGTGCCCGCCACACACGCCCTCCTGGACAGGTCTCTGCACTGATTTGATCTACGTTTCCCAGAGCAGCGAGCGGGGGTCACGGTCTGGTCACTACAGAATCCGTTCTTTGCGGTCTACCACCTCCTAGGCGTCCAGCTTGGTGCTCTCTGCATTGACAGTGGCATGATGCGATGGCCAATATTTGACAGAGATATATATTTTCTTTAAAATTTTGGGAAATGAACGAAGCCTAGCTGTTGTAGGTCCATTCACTAAACACACACACACAGAGTCTGGAAGAGCCACTGCAACGTTAGCTGTCACTTCCTAATGAATGACAGCATCGTTCTGTACAATCAGAGCTCAGACAGAAGGCAGCTTTTAAACAACAAAAGCCAAAAGGCAGCCACGAAGGAGAAATGTGTCATCGTGAGAGGGAGCAAGAGCCAACTCCGCACTTCAAGCGCTGGGGCCTGCCAGGTACCAGATCAAACCCTTGTGACTTAGGGGGTTTATGAGTTACTGGATGATTCTGCATTTGCGTCAGCCATGAACACCCAGACTGCCCGTTCTCTACCTCCAAGGCAAGGGCTGTGATTGGAGAGGCATTTTCCATTCTCCCAAATACTTTATGTCAGGAATAAAATGAGAACAGCTCCCCAAATCACGGCCCCCTTGATCATCCATCAGTGCATTCTGCCAAGTAAGCAAAACAGGACGCCACTGCCTCAGAAAGGACAGAAGCCAACTTGAGATTCCGAGTCCGTGATGAAAAATAGGTCTTCACCAAGTGTGCTCAGCACAGCATTGGCAATTCACGGAGAGGAAATTGCTCTCCACTTAGAAGCCGACTCCGGGTGTACACATACCTCCTAGTACATATATATATATATATATATATATATATATATGTATATATATAAGTATATATATATAAGTGTATATATATATATATACACACACACAGAGATGGAAAGCGTATATACAACACCTGCAAGGAACAAACATGTGTCTGTACATACTGTGAGCAGGCGAGAACCAGCCTTTTTAATCCCAATTTATTAATTCAGCAAGGAGCTCATTTGGCCTCTTTCTATCTGCAAGAGAAGTACCAGCACATTGCCCAGCAAACAGCAGACAGAAGGGAACTGCCTGCCATTCATGAGAGGCATACAGCTTGATATGAAACCAGAACACAGAGAAATCCTCCAGTGCACTTAAAGGATCACAGTGTAAAGAGAACACTTCACTGGGAGCCCAGATGGTCTGGGTTCTGGTCCCAGTTCTGCCTCCAAGGGACTGTGGGGCCTTAGGGAACTACGTCCTCTCCCAGTTAGTTCCTTCACCCATAAAATACGAGCACAGACCAGGTGAGTTCTGAAGCCCTCTCCAGCTTGGAAATCATGGAACTCTACAAAAGGACAACCACCAAATGTCCTCATGCTTTGTCAGAGTAGTTATGTCTCTCTCCAAATAATTAATGGCTACTTCAAAGCTTAACACAGTTAGTAAGGATGGTAGCATCCACCACACAAACATGAGCTAATTCTGTAACTGATCAGAAACTGATGTGGAGCTTTGAAGAGCATTTCTGATGATGGTGCTAACGACTCGGAGAACCAGCTACTGCTGGATGCTAAGGAGTCATTCCCTGCTTTCAGAGGCAGGGGAGGACTTCAGTTCCCCCCATCTCTACTCCAACAGAACAGTCCTGCTGTTTCCTGTTTTTCTTCACTTAGGCCTTCCTCGGAGGTTCTGTTTGGACAGAGAGATGCATGGGGAGAATGGTGAGATGAGTGCTCCAGGGGTAAGAGGTCAGAGTGGAAGAATGTAGGCTCTGCAGTCAGACACACAGGTAAAGCGCGGGCTCTAGCAATGATGAGCTGGTGACTTGAGCAGCCCAAATAGCGTCTCGAGGCCTGCGTTATCTCATCTGTACAGTAAGCCAACGTTCCCTTCCTTCCACGTTAGAAGATTATGTGAGGACTCACATACCTGGACACAAAGAACCTTAGAACAGTAGTGGATGACATTGACACCCCACCCCAGTATGATGGGTATATCTTTATGAACCCTCCAGATTTCCAGAGCTTCCATGTCAAAGACAATGAGAGCAGGAGAAATAGCATCTATTCTATAAAATGCATGTATACATGACGGTGAGAAATTCAGGATGGGCAGGAACCCAAGATACTATAAACAGTCTATTTGTCGTACTGTGGTTTGGTGACACGGGCTGTCTCTGGAATCTTTTAACCAAAAAAAAAAGGAGGCCAAGAAATGAATTATTTCTTTTGGACAAAAGCTGGAATAACTAAAGGCAGTCATGAGCAATACATCAAACCGGTGCCTCCATTAGTAAAACTGTTAACACTTTAATAGCTACGAAGCGAATCACTCAATTAATTTCCCACATGCTGAAACAGGTAACAATACATTTATCTGCCAGTATTATACTCTCCATATCATATATTTCCACAACTGTTAGCAATTTTATTCAGCATAACGGGAAATAAGTTGCACCTCATGGATTCAGGGAAAGAAAGTGGCCTGAGGTCTGCTGCCAGCTGAGCAACTTGACGGAAGAGGTTGCATTTTTCTGTTTTGGTTCTGTTTGTTTTTTCCTCTTTCCCTCTTAATCACTTCCAATGCGTGTGCAGAGTGCTCAAAGTCAATCAGCGAGGACAAACGAGACCTCAAGGATTTCTGGGCTAGTGTTTTCCACACACGAGCTAGGATCCCACAGGAAGTGACCATAGCGCCACAGAGCTCCAGGGCAGTGAGGGACCTCCAAAGGGGTCATCAAGTCCATTCCCCAGCCTCAGGCTTCACTGAAGGACCCCAGCTCCTCCCAAGCCCATGTCCTTAATAATCTCCTTGTGTCTGAATCCAGGACCCCAAGCCAAATCTCCCCTGCCTCATCAACGCTGTCATTAAGATAACGCCACGTTCAATCCCATGGCCTCGAAGCAGACTCAGCTGGCGAAGCGAAGGTCAGTGAACAGCATTCCCATGAGCAACACGACGGAAGCACACACCAGTCCCAGATCACATTGTCAAAAAAATCGCCCTCCCTGCCAGCAATATTTCCAAGAGCTATTGAGCCCTCACCTGTGGACAAGAGAAAATCACTCTCCCCCAGCTACCCTTTGGTCCCAAGAAAGAAGGGCCCCTCTGAGGCACTAGAGGAGTACTACCCCCCTGAGAAACAGTAAATGCCCAATGCTTTCCTGTTTCTCCTTTTTTAGCTACAGACCTGCAGAGGCCCCACCTTGTAAATAAAACATCTTCCAGGAGGCCCGAAATCCTCCCCAGGAACGTCACCATTGGACTATGTATGATGCTGCTTTATTGGTACAAGAGCCATCTGCCTGAAATCACCTTTCCAATAAGGTCCCCTAGGCTGGGTTACAGGAAGACCCAGTTTATACCCAGTTCTACTTCTTGTTTGGCCAACAGTATATCCATGGATGAAATCCTGGTGTGAGATCCCTCCTGCATTCTGAACACATAGGAGGACTTCCTCCAGGGTCAAAGAGTACCCAACAGGTGAGGCATAACTCCTTGCAAAGAACAGTCAGTAGAGGGCTTACCTTGGGCTTCACCACCTTCATGAACGCCCCTCTGACCAAAGCTTCCTCTCGTTCTTGTTTGGTTACTTTACGAGCATCCAGAAACTTCAAATTGGGCAGCTTGTGCAGAACAAAGCATCTGGAAGAGAACAGTCAGAGGTAACTCAGGAAGACTGGGGTGACAGCCTCAAACTTTCATGCAATTTGTCTGATGAGCAGGGAACTACACCATTAGGTCTTCAGAAGTTTAGACCTTGGTTCCTGCCTCTCCTCTCTTCTTTCACAAAGAATGAATAACCACTCTTTGGGGAAATCCAAATGGTTCTATTTTACACAGATACACAACTAAACTTTCAAAATATACACCAATGGTTGCTCTTGACTCAAAGGTAGATACACACACACACACACACACACACACACACACACACACCTGGATTAGCCAGTAAGATCCTATCAACGTGTTTACCTTCTACCATTCTGAAAAATGAACCCAACATCTTTGCTACACAAGAAGTTCTCAGTGAAAATAACCTACAACCTGATCATACCATTAATGTCATCTGGATCATTCTCATCTCTGAGATAACAGCAAATCTTCATTTTGAAGCTGAGACAAGAAACTTTAATTTGCCATCAAGATAATAATAATAACCTGGACAACTTTGGGATAGCAGTAAAAAACACATATAGCTGAGAAATGCTCCCTTGAGGAATCCAACAGGGGTTTTGAGGACTTTTTTCTCATCATCACTGAGTTACTTCTACACTGGAACTATGAAGATTATCTCCATCAAGTAGAAACAAGGAAGTTGGTTTCTAGGGGATATTAATAGCCCCCAAAATGCTATATGGTCTCCATCCCCCTGGAGAGAGTCTTTGGGATCCATTACGGCCTCCAAGGATAACCCAATGACTGACCTCTTGTGTGATGTACTATCAAGCAGGTGTATGGAGTTGACAAGAAGACTTGCCTGGCCAGGAGACAGGTACATAAACATATAAATAGATATATAAAAGATATAGACACCTGCCTATATGTCTCCTTCCTCAATGGTAGTCACCAACCCAGATGCTCTCCATCAAGCCCCCATACTCCATCAATCAAAGAAGCAATTGTTTAGACCCTGTCCTGCTTAGGAAGAAGAGGTGAGGACCCCACGTCAAGAGCAATAAATCATTTCCATGGGAATCTGACTTTTTCTCCCTGTACCCAGCCTCCTCCGTACCCACTCATCTTCCAAATCCCAACCTGCAGGAAGTTTTCTGCTGCACCCGCAGCCCGCATTGCTTTCTCCCTTCTCAACACTCCCAGGAGGCATTTTCAGCACCCTGCAATTTAACATTTTATTTATTTATTTATTTATTTTTGCAGTATGTGGGCCTCTCATTGTTGTGGCCTCTCCCGTCACGGAGCACAGGCTCCGGACGCGCAGGCTCAGCGGCCATGGCTCACGGGCTCAGCCGCTCCGCGGCATGTGGGATCTTCCCGGACCGGGGCACGAACCCGTGTCCCCTGCATTGGCAGGCGGACTCTCAACCACTGTGCCACCAGGGAAGCCCCCATTTTATTGTTTTTTAATTGCTTTGCTGGTGTTCAGTTAATGTCCTCACCTAAACTATAAGCTTTTTGAAGGCAGGCAGCAAGTTTTTTTTTTTTTTTCCCTCACCCTCACACCATTTAGGAAAGTAGCATTAGAACGGACTCCATAAAATACCAGTTCATTTCAGTTGCACAAATATTTCTTAAGCACCTACTACGTGCCAGACCCTAGGTATACAGAGGTGATTACAACATGGTTCCTGCTCTTAAAAGAGGAAGAAAGACTCACCCAAAGAAATTAGAAATCAGCATAGGTAAGTGCCAAGTTTGAGGTTATACACAAAGTAGCTTTGGGAGCACAAAGAAAGAGGAACAGGAAATCTCAAGAAGGCTTCAAAGATCCAAGCCCTAAAGCAGCCCAAGCCCTGAGCTTTCTCTCAGTACACGTGTTACTTGGGGTGTTACTTGGGGTGTGTAGCAGGCCTCCCTCCTCAGCAAAGCCTTGGGTTCCCAAGGCCAGCTTCCCCATTCATCAGGTGGTCTCACATCACCCCATGGCCTCGCATGTGCTTGTCCAGGTAAAAGATTTAGCTGATCACTCAGGTGCCAGAGACAACAGCTTAGAGGCCTCTGATCACAGCCTTCATATTACTCTTTTTTAAAGTCAAAATACTCTAAATTCTCTTGTGTATCCTTTTCCTCCCCTGAAACTTCCACACCAACATCTGAGGTCCTGGAAATTTGACGATGTACTTCCTGCTTCCTTCCTGGCCTCAAACTATGCACTACCTTCTTTCCTGCTTCTCCCTGAGCATTTCCCTCTCTAAATGCGGCCTAAGCTTACCCTAAATTAGAAAAGCTCTACAAAGGCCCAAATGACCTTTCTATCCTCCAGGAGAGCTCCCACTGGCCTCAGTCAGTGTCAGAAAAAACTTCCATCTTCTGCTTGTAGCAGCAAAGTCTTGATGACAACAGATTCTTTCAAATAAAGACACGTACAGATGGAAACAATATGTCAGGAGTGACGCTCAAAGGAGTAAAGACACCCACTAAGTGTAGGGTGGGAAAAGATGAATATTCAGGGGAAGAAAACATCAGTATTAGAAAATCAGCCAATGTTTAATGATGGAATGAAAGATGTCTTCACAGGGCTGGCAGGAACCACGGTGACAACAGACAGCACGTTGTCATTTTGCCCCACTTTGGATCACAGCCCTGAAATCAAAGGAGAGAGAGAGAAGTGCTGGCTTTTAAGCTAGTTAAAAATTTTAGATGACAAAGAGCTGCTGTTTTCAGAGCACTCTTCTTTTAGAACCGAAGAAATACCCATGGAATAGGCTGCCAGTCACCCCTGAAACTAGAGGTGACTTGACTCCCATCCTGTTGGCCAGCCTGGGGTTTCCAGGTGGTCGATGCTTAAAGATGTTTGAGAGGCACTAGGAAGGCTTGTCCCAGATAGTTCAGTCGGAAACTCAGCTCAGGGCCCAAAGTTCGTCTCTTAAGAGATGTCTTCTTTCATTTACTTACATATTCACTCACCCAACAAATAATTAAGAAGCTACCACCTGCCAGGAACTGCACTAGGTACTGAGAATAAGGTGATGCACAAAACAGACAAGGTCTCTACTCTCAACGAGCTTATATTCTAGCACAGTTGTTCTCAAAGTTGAGGGGGCATCAGCATCCCCCAGATGCCTTGTTGAAACACACATCGCAGGGCCCCACCCCTAGAGTTTGCGATTCACTACATCTGGAAGGAAGTCTCAAATTCACATCCTAATAAGTTCCCAGGTGAGGCTGATGCTACTAGGCCTGCTGCGAACCACCATGCAAGTGAAAATAACATCACGAGGAATAACCGTTTTGGGATTATGAGGTTGGTAAGGCCACCAAGAGTCTCCTTTCCAGTTCTGCTAATGGTCTGTCCTGCTCCAATGTCTGTGGTACCCAGCGCCCAGACAGCAGCCACATCTACCAGACCTTCGTGCCCCTTGGTGGTTTGGAATTGGCTCCAAACATTACTGCCAAGAGGTAAGTCCAGTGGGCTTTCTGCCTGCCTGTCCCATTCTGGTCTTGGGAGATCTATTTCCCTTTGTTCTAGGTCATGTCAGGGTGTCAAAAGCTGCAGCTTCAATCCTGAGTATAATACAAGTTTGCCATAAAAATACAAGGGAGGATTCCCGAAGCCACAGAATGAAGGCTTTTACAATATCAATTCAACCCTTGTAAATTTAATCCAGGGTTATTTGTTGCACCAAAATCTCTTTACTGTGATGTATTACTTAGTTACTGGGGTTATCACAGCCATATCCTAAAGTTGCACAGTACATAAAACATTTCAGTTAACAATGCAGTAAGGTTAACTCCCCCAGATAACCTGCAATCACCAGGGCTAGTCCAGATGACATGCCTCTGTCAGCTTCCATGAGCTATTGATGGTTCAATCAGTTTGTTTTGAAGGTAAAGTACAACAAAAGGGCAGTAAACTTATTCAGACTGTCAACAGGGGCTATTGGGAATGGGGCTTGCAGGTAAGTAATTCTGGGTGTTTTAAAGCTATTATCAAACAGCAATGGTTGAAGGAAGAGACAGCTACTAATAACACAGAAGGCAGCCATCATAAACCACTTTATGGCAGAAACCCCCGTCTATAAATCCTGCAGCACCCGGAGACAGCTTCAGATTTATAAAACTGCTTGTTAAGCCAGGGCACTGCTTAATGAAAAGAGATCTGTCTAAGTTCTAAGGCTCAGGTCCCCTGCTCCAGAGGGCAATGCCAACTTTCCTGACCTTCCCAAGGTGGCTGGGAGAAAGCCACAGGGCTGGGAGGGGTAGGGAGTGAAATCAGGGGCCCTCCTGGCTGTGATACGGAAAGTGAGGTTATCAAGAGGAGACCAGGGACCCTGGGAAGTTGTTCAAAGACCCACCTGTCTCTGTCTGCTAACAGATTCTCCAAAAGCGAGAGCCCCACACAGAGCTTTTCGGGTTCTCTCTCTTTTCATAGAGGATCCTCCACTTCCTGAAAGAACTTCTCTTAGGAAGTAACCGGTTACCTACAACTGGTAGGGGGGACAAAAGGAACAGCAGAAAGGCTTTTTTGTTTATTTGTTTGCTCCCAAATCAATTTTCTCTACCGAAATCCCAAAGCTCTGGCATTTTTCATCTAGACTTCAAAGGGAAGGGAGGATGCTCTTGTCTTCTGCCCACATCTGCTTCCCCGGGGGATCCGGCTGTTCCCCAGGCCCTCTGCACAACCACAGGAACACCAAGACAGATCTCCGATGTCTGCTCCTGGGGCTGGCTGCCATGTTTCATCCTCTGAGAAGACTCTACTCAAGAAACACCACATTTCCAGATCCTGAGGGAACTGGATGTGGCATCACTGGGATTTTCCCCACTTCCTTCCTTTTACAGCACTCAATGCTTCTTCCTATTGCTTCTTGCTGCCTTCATGCTCCCATGCACAGGAAGGGGGGAGACCTGGTGACTGGTGCCCCACCCGGGGGCCCCGAGGGCAGCAAGGGGTGATCCATGAACTGCTCTCCAACTTTCACAAAGCTTAACAGAAAAGCGTGGACGCGCCAACAAAACATCAA